GTGGTTTTGAGGCCCTTGGCTTAATTAGGTATTGCTCATTTTTAGGGATTAATGAATTTGCAATTATTGCAGTGGTCTTACGTTCTAAAGTATTAGTTGGATCTCGTTTAATTTTAATGTAGGTACTTTCCTCTAGTAAATTTCTAATTTTATTATCATAATCGGCTCGTGACATCACTACAGTAGTGCGGCCTTTATCAGCTGCTAGGATTTGGATATCCTTATTTACACGCATCTCTCTTAAGGCTTTTGCCTCGTTAGAGCTAATATTTACTTTTGGAACTTTGCTATTCTCAATTATTTTAGCAACCTCATGTCTAGTCATCTCTGCCTCATTATGTGGAAGGAGTCTAACTGCTGATTCTACCTCAGCAATTATCTCATCCACTGGAATTGTGCGTGGGGTAACGGCAAAGTTAAGGCCTTTAGAAAGGACAGAGACCATGTCACCGGTTAATACAGTGTTGGTCAAGTTCAGTACAGTTTTGTTTTTACATTTTTGGTTTTCAGTAGGCCATTGTTTAAATAACACTTACTTCTTATGGAGAGGGGATTTCTTTAAACAAAAGGAAGGAGCAGCAATGGGTTCTCCTTTATCCCCTGCTATAGCAAATTTGTACATGGAAAACTTTGAAATAAGAGCACTTGCCTCGAGCACATTAAAACCATCCTTTTGGTTTAGGTATGTGGATGACACTTTGGTTGTCTGGCCACATGGTAAAGATACACTTAATGATTTTCTAAATCATCTCAATGCACAAAACCCGGCCATCCAGTTCACCATGGAAATGGAGGTGAATAACACACTCCCATTCCTCGATATTTTGCTTGGACATGGCCTAAACGGTAAAATAACACACAGCGTTTACAGAAAGCAAACGCACACTGATGCCTATCTGAATGCAGAATCACATCATCATCCAGCTCAAAAATCCTCTCTTATCAAGACGCTCGTACATCGGGCGAAAACAGTGTCAGATGGTGAGAGTCTAGTGAGAGAGATTAAACACGTTAAAGACGCACTACGACAGAATGGCTACAATAATGCTCAAATTAACAGAGCACTTAATGCCAAATCACGATCGCAAAGCAATACTACTGAAAGCGACCAGATTGTTAAAACAATAAAAATTCCATATATCTCAGGAGTAACTGACAAATTAGCCCGCGTTTTGCAAAAGCAAAACATTACAGTAAGATTTGGTACAGTACACAAAATTCAAAAACTAGTATCTTGCACTAAAGACGCATTACCTAAACTATCAACAGAAGGTGTATATCGGATTAATTGTTCATGTGGCAGCTGCTACATTGGGCAGACGGGACGTAACATCAGCGTAAGACTAAAAGAACATCAGAGAAATATTAAATTATCTCAAACACAACTGTCGGCAGTGACAGAACATGCTTGTCAACAAGGACACTCAATTGATTTTGACAATGTTGCAGTGGTGTGTAAAACTAATTATTACTGGCAAAGACTAATTAGAGAATCCATTGAAATTGAGAGGAACAAGAATAACTTTAATCCCTCTGACAGCTACCGGCTTAGTGCGGCCTGGAAGCGTATTATTAAATAATACACATTACATTTTGATTTAAAGAATTACTAATCTACAACTCATTACTAATCATAACCAATGACTGATTACTAATCGATTATATAATTACATTACCCCCCCCCCTCCGCCTCTAATCACTGCACCTGATGAGTTAAGTGATGACGTCACTCTTCTGCTCTATATAAAACCGGGAGCAAGCGAGGGCTTTACCATTCTGGCGAATTGCCCGATGATGCTGGAAGTATTTACCAGCGAAACGTCGTACTCAAACTGTAAATGTGGATTAACTCTTCAACACACCGGTGGGCTGAAGTAGTGAATTATTTGTCTTTTGTCAACGTGACACTTTTTTTTTGCTGATTGGCCGTGTCGGGTGGCGGAGGGTTACGACACATTTATAAATAAATACTACTATATAGTACTACTATATAGTACTACTGCTACAAGGTACTACTGCTATATAGGACTACTACTGTAGTAGACTCAACTAAGTCGCAGACGAACTCTTTGAACCACCAGGCTAACTACACACTATAGTGGTGGACCACCAGGCTGACTACACCCTATAGTGGTGGACCACCAGGCTGACTACACCCTATGGTGGTGGACCACCAGGCTAACTACACACTATAGTGGTGGACCACCAGGCTGACTACACACTATGGTGGTGGACCACCAGGCTAACTATACACTATGGTGGTGGACCACCAGGATAACTACACACTATGGTGGTGGACCACCAGGCTAACTACACACTAAGTGGTGGACCACCAGGCTGACTACACACTAAGTGGTGGACCACCAGGCTCACTACACACTATAGTGGTGGACCACCAGGCTGACTACACACTATGGTGGTGGACCACCAGGCTGACTATACACTGTGGTGGTGGACCACCAGGCTAACTACACCCTATAGTGGTGGACCACCAGGCTGACTACACACTATGGTGGTGGACCACCAGGCTGACTATACACTGTGGTGGTGGACCACCAGGCTAACTACACCCTATAGTGGTGGACCACCAGGCTGACTACACACTATAGTGGTGGACCACCAGGCTGACTACACCCTATGGTGGTGGACCACCAGGCTGACTACACACTATGGTGGTGGACCACCAGGCTAACTACACACTATGGTGGTGGACCACCAGGCTGACTACACACTATGGTGGTGGACCACCAGGCTGACCACACACTATAGTGGTGGACCACCAGGCTGACTACACACTATGGTGGTGGACCACCAGGCTAACTACACACTATAGTGGTGGACCACCAGGCTAGCTACACACTAAGTGGTGGACCACCAGGTTAACTACACACTATGGTGGTGGACCACCAGGCTAACTACACACTAAGTGGTGGACCACCAGGCTAGCTACACACTAAGTGGTGGACCACCAGGTTAACTACACACTATGGTGGTGGACCACCAGGCTGACTACACCCTATAGTGGTGGACCACCAGGCTGACTACACCCTATAGTGGTGGACCACCAGGCTAACTACACACTATGGTGGTGGACCACCAGGCTAACTACACACTATAGTGGTGGACCACCAGGCTGACTACACACTATGGTGGTGGACCACCAGGCTGACTACACACTATGGTGGTGGACCACCAGGCTAACTACACACTATAGTGGTGGACCACCAGGCTGACTACACACTATGGTGGTGGACCACCAGGCTAACTACACACTAAGTGGTGGACCACCAGGCTGACTACACACTATAGTGGTGGACCACCAGGCTAGCTACACACTATGGTGGTGGACCACCAGGCTGACTACACACTAAGTGGTGGACCACCAGGTTAACTACACACTATGGTGGTGGACCACCAGGCTGACTACACCCTATGGTGGTGGACCACCAGGCTAACTACACACTATGGTGGTGGACCACCAGGCTGACTACACACTATGGTGGTGGACCACCAGGCTAACTACACACTATAGTGGTGGACCACCAGGCTGACTACACACTATGGTGGTGGACTACCAGGCTAACTACACACTATAGTGGTGGACCACCAGGCTAACTACACACTATGGTGGTGGACCACCAGGCTAACTACACCCTATAGTGGTGGACCACCAGGCTGACTACACCCTATAGTGGTGGACCACCAGGCTGACTACACACTATGGTGGTGGACCACCAGGCTGACTACACACTAAGTGGTGGACCACCAGGCTCACTATACACTATGGTGGTGGACCACCAGGGTAACTACACACTATGGTGGTGGACCACCAGGCTCACTACACACTATGGTGGTGGATCACCAGGCTGACTACACACTAAGTGGTGGACCACCAGGCTAACTACACACTGTAGTGGTGGACCACCAGGCTAACTACACACTAAGTGGTGGACCACCAGGCTAACTATACACTATGGTGGTGGACCACCAGGCTGACTATACACTATAGTGGTGGACCACCAGGCTGACTACACGAGTTACACTACTATGATAAAGTAGTAGTACTATATAGTAGAAGTACTATGCAGTGGGTGAGTGAGTGGGTGAGTGAGTGGGTGAGTGAGCGAGTGAGTGAGTAGGTGAGCGAGTGAGCGATTGGGTGGGTGAGTGAGCAAGTGAGTGAGTGGGTGAGTGAGTGAGTGGGTGAGTGAGTGGGTGAGCGAGTGATTGGGTGAGTGAGTGAGCGGGTGAGCAAGTGAGTGAGTGGGTGAGCGAGTGAGCGAGCGGGTGAGCAAGTGAGTGAGTGAGTGGGTGAGTGAGTGAGCGAGGAAGGGAGCGAGCGGGTAAGCAGGAAGTGACAAGACATGGTGGTGGTGATGGTGGTGGTGGTGATGGTGGTGGTGGTGGTGATGATGATGATGGTGTAGGTGATGGTGGTGGTGGCGGTGATGATGGTGGTGGTGGTGATGGTGGTGGTGGTGATGATGATGATGGTGTAGGTGATGGTGGTGGTGGCGGTGATGATGGTGATGGTGGTGATGGTGGTGGTGGTGATGATGATGATGATGGTGTAGGTGATGGTGGTGATGGTGGTGGTGGTGGTGATGATGATGATGGTGTAGGTGATGGTGGTGGTGGCGGTGATGATGGTGATGGTGGTGATGGTGGTGGTGGTGATGATGATGATGATGGTGTAGGTGATGGTGGTGATGGTGGTGGTGGTGATGATGATGATGGTGTAGGTGATGGTGGTGGTGGCGGTGATGATGGTGATGGTGGTGATGGTGGTGGTGGTGATGATGATGGTGGTGATGGTGGTGGTGGTGATGATGATGATGGTGTAGGTGATGGTGGTGATGGTGGTGGTGATGATAATGATGATGGTGTAGGTGATGGTGGTGGTGGCGGTGATGATGGTGGAGGTGGTGATGATGATGGTGGTGATGGTGGTGGTGGTGGTGGCGGCGATGGCGGTGATGCAGGCAGGCAGACCGCCTCACTTGTAGGGGCTGTTGATGAGATCCGGACCCCACACCAACGTGCCCGGTGCCTCCTCCGCACCGGTGACCTCGGCAACGTCAGCACCGGCACGGGGACCGTCGCTCGCGCCGGCACCACCACCACCACCACCACCGGCACCACCACCACCACCGGCACCACCACCACCACCGGCACCGCCCTGGCAGGCGTCTTGCAGCGTCCGCGCGAAGGCGCCGGCCGAGTGCAGGGCCAGGCCCCGCAGGGCGTGCTCCGTGCGCAGGCGCACGGCCTCCAGCAGGCGGCGCAGCTTGGAGCGGCGGTACGAGGACCAGCGGCGCTCGCCGGGGTCCAGCGTCGGGGCGGCGCCGGTGGCGCCGGTGGCGCCGGTGGCACCACCGGCGCCACCGGCGCCACCGGCCAGCAGGGCGGCGCGCAGGGACTGGGCCAGCGACGGCAGCCACGAGTCGCACAGGAAGAGCTGCACCTGGGGGGGAGGAGGATGGGGAGGATGGGGGAGGAGAGGGAGATGTTGACTCCCTCGCCCGGTACTCAGGAGGTCGTGGATTCGATCCCGACCACTGACGATGGGGGAGGAGAGGGAGATGTTGACTACCTCGCCAGGTACACAGGAGGCCGTGGGCTACATCCCGGCCACTGACGATGGGGGAGGAGAGGGAGATGTTGACTACCTCGCCCGGTACTCAGGAGGTCGTGGATTCGATCCCGACCACTGACGATGGGGGAGGAGAGGGAGATGTTGACTCCCTCGCCCGGTACGCAGGAGGCCGTGGGCTACATCCCGGCCACTGACGATGGGGGAGGAGAGGGAGATGTTGACTCCCTCGCCCGGTACACAGGAGGCCGTGGGCTACATCCCGACCCTGTTGTGTATTCACAGTGGATAGGAGATGTTGACTACCTCGCTTGGTCTACAGGAAGTCGTGGGTTCGAGCCTTACCCTGACGACACCCTGCTGCTGTACATTTGCATGTGCTAGGAAATGTTAACGACCTCGCCCGGTATACAGGAGGTCGTGAACGTTGATCCCTAGCGCCAGTTGCATTCTCGCAGTGCCAAGATATTAACTAATAATAGTAGGGTTTTTCCCCTTTTTTCTGGCAACAAAATTGAAACCTGCAGTCAAAATGCAAACAGAAAAACATACTATGATAATATATTGGCATTGTCCTTGAAACTGATTGCTCCACTGGCAAAGGGGGTCTAATGATGAAGATATTAACTGTGCCTGGTACGCAGGAGGTCGTGGGTTTGACCCCGACCCTGATGGGGAGTGGGCGGGGAGGGGGAGGGTGGAGGAGGAGTGGGGAGGAGGAACACACACAGACACTTACACACACACAAACACTTACACACACACAAACACTTACACACACACAAACACTTACACACGCACACAGACACACATCCACAACAACAACAACCGCTATTCGCCACTAAGTGGCGGTGACGTCACCACGACGCTTGTGCCAGGCCATGTGCACCCTGAGGCCACGTGAAGTGTCGAACGCCCGCTGGCAGGAGGTCACGGGGCAGACCCAGGTGCCACGGGTCGACTGACTGAGATGACTGGCCGATGCACCACCTGTGCCCCCTAATGTGCCAACCTGCTGTGCTTTAGCCACCCGGCGCTCCGCTCGTTGTTGTGAGCGTCGCTCCTCTGCCCTCCGTTGTTGCTGGAGGGCGACTGCCTCCGACTGCCCAGTAGCATCCTTCACGAGCCTCCTCCACAGAGGCCGATCTTGACACCGCTGGTACCAGTCATCGGCAAGTTCACTCAGCCTGTTGTATCAGCCCTTCTCTTCTCCAGCCCATGCCGCGCCCGTTTAGCCCCATAAATCCGGCCGAACAAAAGCTGTTTCGGCATGCGGTGGCTGGGCATGCGGGCAACATGACCCAGCCATCGCAGCCTTGCCCGCCGGAGGAGCTCACCGATGGGACCTTGCCCAGATCTTTCAAGGATTTGTGAGCTCCTCACACAATCCAGCCTGGTTAACCCCAGGATAGATCGTAGGCAGGCCAGCCTAAATGTTTCCAACCGGCGAAGATGCTCCATTAAGGGGGTCCACGTTTCGCAAGCGTAGAGAAGGGAGGGAATGACCGTGGCCGAGAAGACCTGAAGCTTAGTGCGGAGCGACAGACCAGGTAGCTTCCACACAGCGTTACGCAACCGATGAAAAGATATTGCCGCTCGACTGATTCGGAGCGAGACCTCTGCTGTTAAACTGGAGCGGGTCATAAGCACACTGCCCAGGTATGGGAAACTCTCCACTCTCTCCACAACTGCCCCATCACCGATTGGGAGTTGTGGGGGTGGAGTGTCCGATGGTACAAAATACTCAGGCAGGTGCTTCGTTTTGGTGGGGCTGATGGTAAGGCCTCACCTCTTAGTGGCACGCTCCAGTCTCAGCAGCAGCGTCTCCAACTCCTCCTCTGACTGAGCAGCTATTACCAAATCATCAGCATACATAACGTGGTTGAGCAATAGGGAGCCATCCCTTGACCGCACCCGGGCATCGATTAGCCTCCCATTATATCTGTACCATATGGAGATTCCCCCGGGACAGCTATTGAAGGCTTCACGAACTACGTGGTCAAAATAGATGTTAAATAATGTGGGAGCCAGAGGACATCCCTGTCGCACCCCAAGGTGTACAGGGAATGGCTCTGACTCCCGGCCACGTAGTTTTACCCGGGCCCGCTCACAACCATGAAGGTCCTTAATGATCGTGAGCAGAGGGTCAGGTACTCCAAAAGCACGAAGAACGACCCAGAGCCCAGGCCTACTGATGGTATCATAGGCCTTGACCAGGTCAATAAAGCAGAGATGTAAGTCTTGTTGGAATTCCCTAAACCTCTGCTGTAGCAAACTGACAGAAAATATGGCATCTGTGTAGGACCGCCCTTTCCTGAAACCGCATTGGGGCTCTGCAAGCCTCTCCACACAGACACACACACTTACACACACACAGACACACACACTTGACACACACACAGACACACACACTTTGACACACACTTTGACACACACACAGACACACACACAGACACACACACTTACACACACACAGACACACACACTTACACACACACACTTGACACACACACAGACACACACACAGACACACACACTTACACACACACAGACACACACACTTACACACACACAGACACACACACTTACACACACACAGACACACACACACAGACACACACACAGACACACACACTTACACACACACAGACACACACACTTACACACACACAGACACACACACTTACACACACACAGACACACACACACAGACACACACACTTACACACACACAGACACACACACTTACACACACACAGACACACACACACACACAGACACACACACTTGACACACACACACACTTACACACACACAGACACACACACTTGACACACACACAGACACACACACTTACACACACACAGACACACACACAGACACACACACTTACACACACACAGACACACACACACACACAGACACACACACACTTACACACACACACAGACACAGACACACACACACGGACACACACACACAGACACACACACTTACACACAGACACACACACACTTACACACACACAGACACACACACTTACACACACACAGACACACACACTTACACACACACAGACACACACACAGACACACACACTTGACACACACACAGACACACACACACAGACACACACACAGACACACACACTTACACACACACACACACTTACACACACACAGACACACACACAGACACACACACACACACTTACACAGACACACACACTTACACACACAGACACAACAACAACACAACAACCGCCATTCGCCACTAAGTGGCGGTGACGTCACCACGACGCTTGTGCCAGGCTATGTGCACCCTGAGGCCACGTGAAGTGTCGAACGCCCGCTGGCAGGAGGTCACGGGGCAGACCCAGGTGCCACGGGTCGACTGACTGAGATGACTGGCTGATGCACCACCTGTGCCCCCTACTGTGCCAACCTGCTGTGCTTTAGCCACCCGGCGCTCCGCTCGCTGTTGTGAGCGTCGCTCCTCCGCCCTCCGTTGTTGTTGGAGGGCGACTACCTCCAACTGCCCAGTAGCATCCTTCACGAGCCTCCTCCACAGAGGCCGCTCTTGACACCGCTGGTACCAGTCATCGGCAAGTCCACTCAGCTCCACGTCCTCCTGTACCACATCACTCCATCTCTTCTCTAGCCCGTGCCGCGCCCGCTTAGCCCCCTCAATCCGGCCAAACAAAAGCTGTTTCGGCATGCGGTGGCTGGGCATGCGGGCTACATGACCCAGCCATCGCAGCCTTGCCTGCCGGAGGAGCTCACCGATGGGACCCTGCCCAGATCTTTCAAGGATTTGTGAGCTCCTCACACAATCCAGTCTGGTTAAACCCAGGATGGATCGTAGGCAGGCCAGCCTAAATGTTTCTAACCGGCGAAGATGTTCCATTAGGGGGGTCCACGTTTCGCAAGCGTAGAGAAGGGAGGGAATGACCGTGGCCGAGAAGACCCGAAGCTTAGTGCGGAGCGACAGACCAGGTAGCTTCCACACAGCGTTACGCAACCGATGAAAAGATATTGCCGCTCGACTGATTCGGAGCGAGACCTCTGCTGTTAAACTGGAGCCGGTCATAAGCACACTGCCCAGGTATGGGAAACTCTCCACTCTCTCCACAACTGCCCCATCACCGATTGGGAGTTGTGGGGGTGGAGTGTCCGATGGTACAAAATACCCAGGCAGGTGCTTAGTTTTGGTGGGCCTGATGGTAAGGCCCCACCTCTTAGTGGCACGCTCCAGTATCAGCAGCAGCGTCTCCAACTCCTCCTCTGAATGAGCAGCTATTACCAAATCATCAGCATACATAACGTGGTTGAGCAATAGGGAGCCGTCCCTTGACACACACACTTACACACACACAGACACACACACTTACACACACACAGACACACACACTTATACACACACAGACACACACACTTACACACACACAGACACACACACTTACACACACACAGACACACACACTTACACACACAGACACACACACACTTACACACACACACAGACACACACACACTTACACACACACAGACACACACACTTACACACACACAGACACACACACTTACACACACACAGACACACACACTTACACACACACAGACACACACACTTACACACACACAGACACACACACTTACACACACACAGACACACACACAGACACACACACAGACACACACACTTACACACACACAGACACACACACTTACACACACACAGACACACACACTTGACACACACACAGACACACACACTTGACACACACACAGACACACACACTTACACACACACAGACACACACACTTACACACACACACAGACACAGACACACACACACTTACACACACACAGACACACACACTTACACACACACAGACACACACACTTGACGCACACACAGACACACACACACTTACACACACACAGACACACACACTTACACACACTTACACACACACAGACACAACAACAACCGCCATTCGCCACTAAGTGGCGGTGACGTCACCACGACGCTTGTGCCAGGCTATGTGCACCGTGAGGCCACGTGAAGTGTCGAACGCCCGCTGGCAGGAGGTCACTGGGCAGACCCAGGTGCCACGGGTCGACTGACTGAGATGACTGGCTGATGCACCACCTGTGCCCCCTACTGTGCCAACCTGCTGTGCTTTAGCCACCCGGCGTTCCGCTCGTTGTTGTGAGCGTCGCTCCTCCGCCCTCCGTTGTTGGAGGGCGACTGCCTCCAACTGCCCAGTAGCATCCTTCACGAGCCTCCTCCACAGAGGCCGATCTTGACACCGCTGGTACCAGTCATCGGCAAGTCCACTCAGCTCCACGTCCTCCTGTACCACATCACTCCATCTCTTCTCTAGCCCGTGCCGCGCCCGCTTAGCCCCCTCAATCCGGCCAAACAAAAGCTGTTTCGGCATGCGGTGGCTGGGCATGCGGGCTACATGACCCAGCCATCGCAGCCTTGCCTGCCGGAGGAGCTCACCGATGGGACCCTGCCCAGATCTTTCAAGGATTTGTGAGCTCCTCACACAATCCAGTCTGGTTAAGCCCAGGATGGATCGTAGGCAGGCCAGCCTAAATGTTTCTAACCGGCGAAGATGTTCCACCAGGGGGGTCCACGTTTCGCAAGCGTAGGGAAGGGAGGGAATGACCGTGGCCGAGAAGACCTGAAGCTTAGTGCGGAGCGACAGACCAGGTAGCTTCCACACAGCGTTACGCAACCGATGAAAAGATATTGCCGCTCGACTGATTCGGAGTGAGACCTCTGCTGTTAAACTGGAGCCAGTCATAAGCACACTGCCCAGGTATGGGAAACTCTCCACTCTCTCTACAACTGCCCCATCACCGATTGGGAGTTGTGGGGGTGGAGTGTCCGATGGTACAAAATACCCAGGCAGGTGCTTAGTTTTGGTGGGCCTGATGGTAAGGCCCCACCTCTTAGTGGCACGCTCCAGTCTCAGCAGCAGCGTCTCCAACTCCTCCTCTGACTGAGCAGCTATTACCAAATCATCAGCATACATAACGTGGTTGAGCAATAGGGAGCCATCCCTTGACCGCACCCGGGCATCGATTAGCCTCCCATTATATCTGTACCATATGGAGATTCCCCCGGTACAGCTATTGCAGGCTTCACGAACTACGTGGTCAAAATAGATGTTAAATAATGTGGGAGCCAGAGGACATCCCTGTCGCACCCCAAGGTGTACAGGGAATGGCTCTGACTCCCGGCCACGTAGTTTTACCCGGGCCCGCTCACCATCATGAAGGTCCTTAATGATCGTGAGCAGAGGGTCAGGTACTCCAAAAGCACGAAGAACGACCCAGAGCCCAGGCCTACTGATGGTATCATAGGCCTTGACCAGGTCAATAAAGCAGAGATGTAGGTCTTGTTGGAATTCCCTACACCTCTGCTGTAGCAGACGGACAGAAAATATGGCATCTGTGCAGGACCGCCCTTTCCTGAAACCGCATTGGGGCTCCGCAAGCCTCTCCTCAGCGTGCCTGGCAAGGCGATGCTGAATAATCCTTGCCAGGACCTTTCCCGGCACACTGAGGAGTGAGATGCCCCTGTAGTTGTTACAGTCTGTGCGGTCCCCCTCCTTAAAAAGGGGGACCACCAGGGCATCCTTCCAATCCTGCGGAACCCTTCCAGTGGTCCAGACTGTTGTTATGATGTCATATAGGGCAGTCTGTGCACAAACGCCACCCTCCCTCAGCATTTCGCTTGGGAGATCATCTCTGCCCGCTGCCTTTCCTGGTCTCAGACTCCGGATCGCCTTCAATACTTCCTCAGCAGATGGAACCTCAGCCAGCCACTCACAGGGGGTGACTTCATCCAATATTTGAGGCACCGCAGCCTCAGCAGGGTCATCCTCACTTTGTGCCACGATGTTTTCCTGGCTGAGGGATTTTCCCTCCCCCAGGACCTCACAGAACACACACAGACACACACACTTACACACACACTTGACACACACACACAGACACACACACTTACACACACACAGACACACACACTTGACACACACTTGACACACACACACACTTACACACACACAGACACACACACTTACACACACACACTTACACACACACACAGACACACACACACAGACACACACACAGACACACACACAGACACACACACTTACACACACACAGACACACACACACACTTACACACACACAGACACACACACTTACACACACACAGACACACACACACTTACACACACACAGACACACACACTTACACACACACACAGACACAGACACACACACACTTACACACACACAGACACACACTTACACACACACACTTACACACACACACAGACACACACACACTTACACACACAGACACACACACTTACACACACACACACACTTACACACACACTTGACACACACACACACACACTTACACACACACAGACACACACACACACACACTTACACACACACACACACTTACACACACACAGACACACACACACACAGACACACACACACAGACACACACACAGACACACACACTTACACACACACAGACACACACACACAGACACACACACTTACACACACACACTTACACACACACTTACACACACACAGACACACACTTACACACACACTTACACACACACAGACACACACACACAGACACACACACTTACACACACACAGACACACACACTTGACACACACACAGACACACACACTTGACACACACACACAGACACACACACTTACACACACACAGACACACACACTTGACACACACACAGACACACACACTTGACACACACACAGACACACACACTTACACACACACACAGACACACACACTTACACACACACAGACACACACACACAGACACACACACAGACACACACACAGACACACACACACTTACACACACACAGACACACACAGACACACACACTTACACACACACACAGACACACACACTTACACACACACAGACACACACACTTACACACACACTTACACACACACACTTGACACACACACTTACACACACACTTACACACACACAGACACACACACTTACACACACACAGACACACACACTTACACACACACAGACACACTTACACACACAGAGACACACACACAGACACACACACAGACACACACTTTGACACACACACTTTGACACACACACAGACACACACACACTTACACACACACAGACACACACACACAGACACACACACTTACACACACTTACACACACACAGACACACACACTTACACACACACAGACACACACACTTACACACACACTTACACACACACAGACACACACACTTACACACACACAGACACACACACTTACACACACACAGACACACACACTTACACACACACACAGACACACACTTACACACACACTTACACACACACAGACACACACACACACTTACACACACACAGACACACACACACACTTACACACACACAGACACACACACACACTTACACACACACACAGACACACACACAGACACACACACTTACACACACACTTACACACACACTTACACACACACAGACACACACACACACTTACACACACACTTACACACACACAGACACACACACACACTTACACACACACAGACACACACACACACTTACACACACACAGACACACACACACACTTACACACACACAGACACACACACACACTTACACACACACAGACACACACACACACTTACACACACACACAGACACACACACAGACACACACACTTACACACACACTTACACACACACTTACACACACACAGACACACACACACTTACACACACACAGACACACACACTTACACACACACAGACACACACACACACTTACACACACACAGACACACACACTTACACACACACAGACACACACACTTACACACACACACTTACACACACACTTACACACACACACACACTTACACACACACACAGACACACACACAGACACACACACACACAAACCTGGGCCTGCGTCTGCGCGTGCATCTGCCGGAAGTCGGCCAGCCGCTGGGGCTTGCCGCCCGCGCTGATGTGGAAGAGGCACATGGACGAGGTGGAGGAGGTGGAGGAGGTGGACGAGGTGGAGAGGCGTCCACACTCGACATTGGCGCAGTACAGAGCCCGCAGAGCCGCCTCGTGCGTGAGCAGCGAGCGGAAGCGGAAGGCGGCCAGACGCTCCGCAAAGGGGAACGGGGGCAGGTGACGCACACGGGCTGCGCAGAGAGAGACGCGGGGAGATAGATGGAGATGGAGATATATAGAGAGAGATAGAGAGAGATAGAGAGATGGAGAGATATAGAGAGAGATACAGAGAGAGATAGAGAGATGGAGATAGAGAGATATAGAGAGATAGAGAGAGAGATGGAGATAGAGAGAGAGATGGAGATATAGAGAGATATAGAGAGATGGAGATATACAGAGAGATATAGAGAGAGAGAGAGATGGAGATATAGAGAGAGATATAGAGAGAGATAGAGAGATGGAGATAGAGAGATATAGAGAGAGAGATAGAGAGATGGAGATATAGAGAGAGAGATAGAGAGAGATGGAGATAGAGAGAGAGAGATAGAGAGAGAGATAGAGAGAGAGCGATAGAGAGATAGAGATATAGAGAGAGATGGAGATATAGCGAGAGATGGAGATATAGAGAGATATAGAGAGATATAGAGAGATATAGAGAGAGATAGAGAGATGGAGATAGAGAGAGATGGAGATATAGAGAGATATAGAGAGAGATAGAGAGATGGAGATAGAGAGAGATAGAGAGATGGAGATAGAGAGAGAGATAGAGAGATGGAGATAGAGAGAGATAGAGAGAGATAGAGAGATGGAGATATAGAGAGATAGAGAGATATAGAGAGAGAGAGAGAGAGATATAGAGAGAGATATAGAGAGATGGAGAGATAGAGAGATATAGAGAGATATAGAGAGAGATATAGAGAGAGATATAGAGCGATAGAGAGATGGCGATAGAGAGAGATAGAGAGATGGAGATAGAGAGAGATGGAGATAGAGAGAGATAGAGAGAGATAGAGAGAGATGGAGATATAGAGAGATGGAGATATAGAGAGAGATAGAGAGAGATGGAGATAGAGAGATATAGAGAGATATAGAGAGAGATGGAGATATAGAGAGATATAGAGAGAGATAGAGAGATGGAGATAGAGAGAGAGATGGAGATATAGAGAGAGATAGAGAGATGGAGATAGAGAGAGAGATATAGAGAGAGATAGAGAGAGATAGAGAGATATAGAGAGATGGAGAGATATAGAGAGATAGAGAGAGATAGAGAGAGATATGGAGAGATATAGAGAGAGATAGACAGAGATAGAGAGATGGAGATAGAGAGATGGAGATATAGAGAGAGATAGAGAGATAGAGAGAGATATAGAGAGAGAGAGAGATATAGAGAGATATATAGAGAGAGACACGGGGAGATAGAGAGAGATGGAGATATACAGAGAGAGAGATAGAGAGATATAGAGAGAGATATAGAGAGATATAGAGAGATATAGAGAGAGAGAGATAGAGAAAGATATAGAGAGATATAGAGAGAGATGGAGATAGAGAGAGATATAGAGAGAGATAGAGAGATGGAGATAGAGAGAGAGATAGAGAGATGGAGATAGAGAGAGATAGAGAGATGGAGATAGAGAGAGATAGAGAGAGATAGAGAGATGGAGATATAGAGAGATAGAGAGATATAGAGAGAGAGATAGAGAGAGATATAGAGAGAGATATAGAGAGATGGAGAGATAGAGAGATATAGAGAGATATAGAGAGAGATATAGAGAGAGATATAGAGCGATAGAGAGATGGCGATAGAGAGAGATAGAGAGATGGAGATAGGGAGAGATGGAGATAGAGAGAGAGAGATAGAGAGAGATAGAGAGAGATGGAGATATAGAGAGATGGAGATATAGAGAGAGATAGAGAGAGATGGAGATAGAGAGAGAGATATAGAGAGATATAGAGAGAGATGGAGATATAGAGAGATATAGAGAGAGATAGAGAGATGGAGATAGAGAGAGAGATGGAGATATAGAGAGAGATAGAGAGATGGAGATAGAGAGAGATATAGAGAGAGATAGAGAGAGATAGAGAGATATAGAGAGATGGAGAGATATAGAGAGATAGAGAGAGATAGAGAGAGATATGGAGAGATATAGAGAGAGATAGACAGAGATAGAGAGATGGAGATAGAGAGATGGAGATATAGAGAGAGATAGAGAGATAGAGAGAGATATAGAGAGAGATAGAGATATAGAGAGATATAGAGAGAGAGACACGGGGAGATAGAGAGAGATGGAGATATACAGAGAGAGAGAGAGATAGAGAGATATATAGAGAGATATAGAGAGAGAGATAGAGATATATATAGAGAGAGAGATGGAGATATAGAGAGAGATAGAGAGATGGAGATAGAGAGAGATAGAGAGATGGAGATATACAGAGAGAGATAGAGAGATGGAGAGATATAGAGAGAGATAGAGAGATGGAGATATACAGAGAGATATAGAGAGATATAGAGAGAGACAGAGAGATGGAGATATAGAGAGAGATAGAGAGAGATGGAGATAGAGAGAGATATAGAGAGAGATATAGAGATGGAGATATAGAGAGATAGAGAGAGATAGAGAGAGATATAGAGAGAGAGAAAGAGAGATATAGAGAGATAGAGAGAGATAGAGAGAGATAGAGAGAGATAGATAGAGATAGAGAGAGATATAGAGAGAAAGAGAGATATAGAGAGATAGAGAGAGATAGAGAGAGAGAAAGAGAGCTGAGGTGAGTGAGTGAGTGGTCAGACACACAGAGACACAGACAGATACATAGAGACAGAGACACACAGACACACAGACAGATACATAGAGACAGAGATACACAGAGACACACAGAGACACAGACACAGATAGACACATAGAGACAGAGACACACAGACACACAGAGACACAGACAGATACATAGAGACAGAGAGACACAGACACACAGAGACACACAGACACACAGAGACAAAGACAGATACACAGAGACAAAGACAGATACATAGAGACAGAGAGACGCAGACACACAGAGACACAGACAGATAGAGACAGAGACACACAGAGACACAGACAGATACAGAGAGACACAGACACACAGAGACACAGACAGATACATAGAGACAGAGAGACACAGACACACAGAGACACAGACAGATACATAGAGACAGAGACACACAGAGACACAGACACACAGCGACACAGATAGACACATAGAGACAGAGACACACAGACACACAGAGACACAGACAGATAATTAGAGACAGAGACACACAGAGACACAGACACACAGACACACAGAGACACAGACAGTTAGACACAGAGACACACAGACACACAGAGACACAGATAGACACATAGAGACAGAGACACACAGACACATAGAGACACAGACAGATAGACACAGAGACACACAGACACACAGGGACACAGATCGATACATAGAGACAGAGACACACAGACACACAGAGACACAGACACACAGAGACACAGACAGATACATAGAGACAGAGAGACACAGACACACAGAGACACAGACAGATACATAGAGACACACAGACACACAGAGACACAGACAGATACATAGAGACAGAGAGACACAGACACACAGAGACACAGACAGATACATAGAGACAGAGACACACAGAGACACACAGAGACACAGACACACAGATAGACAAATAGAGACAGAGACACACAGACACACAGAGACACAGACAGATAGAGACAGAGACACACAGACACACAGAGACACAGACAGATACATAGAGACAGAGAGACACAGACACACAGAGACACAGACAGATACATAGAGACAGAGACACACAGACACAGAGACACAGACAGATACATAGACACAGAGACACACAGAGACACAGATAGATACAAAGAGACAGAGACACACAGAGACACAGAGACACACAGAGACACAGACACACAGAGACACAGATAGACACATAGAGACAGAGACACACAGACACACAGAGATACAGACAGATAGAGACAGAAACACACAGACACACAGAGACACAGACAGATACATAGAGACAGGGAGACACAGAGACACAGAGACACAGACAGATACATAGAGACAGAGACACACAGACACACAGAGACATAGACAGATACATAGAGACAGAGACACACAGAGACAAAGACAGACACATAGAGACATAGAGACAGAGACACACAGACACACAGAGACACAGACAGATAGAGACAGAAACACACAGACACACAGAGACACAGACAGATACATAGAGACAGAGAGACACAGAGACACAGGGACACAGACAGATACATAGAGACAGAGACACACAGACACACAGAGACATAGACAGATACATAGAGACAGAGACACACAGAGACAAAGACAGACACATAGAGACAGAGAGACACAGACACACAGAGACACAGACAGATAGAGACAGAGACGCACAGACACACAGAGACACAGACAGATACATAGAGACAGAGAGACACAGACACGCAGAGACACAGACAGATAGAGACAGAGACACACAGACACACAGAGACACAGACAGATACATAGAGATAGAGACACACAGACACACAGAGACACAGACATATACATAGAGACAGAGACACTGAGAGACACAGACACACAGAGACACACAGAGACACAGACACACAGAGACATAGATAGACACATAGAGACAGAGACACACAAACACACAGAGACACAGACAGATACATAGAGACAGAGACACACAGACACACAGAGACATAGACAGACACATAGAGACAGAGACACACAGACACACAGAGACACAGACAGATACATATTGACACAGACACACAGAGACACAGACAGATACATAGAGACAGAGACACTGAGAGACACAGACACAAATATAGAGAGAGGCAAAGAGAGACACAGACAGAAACAGAGAGACAAACACATCCATCCACTTACCTTGTCACTCACTCATCCCCTTACCCACCCACACACCCACTCACCCAGCCACTCACCCACTCACTCACCCAGCCATCCACCCGCCCACTCATCCAGCCACTCACCCACTCACTCACCCACCCACTGACCCAGTCAATCACCCACTCTCCCACTCGGCCCCTCACCCACCCACTCACTCAGCCACTCACCCAGCCACTCACCCACTTACCCAGCCACTCACCCACTCACCCAGCCA